CCCACGCACCCCAATTGCCCAGCCCCTGCACCGCACCTCCTCATGCACCCCCATTGCACAGCCCCTGCACTACACCCCCCACTGCACCTCCTCGTGCACCCACGTGGCACAGCCCCTGCACTGCACCTCCTCATGCACCCCCATTGCACATCCCCAGCATCCCCTGCACTGCACCTCCCCGTGCGCCCCATTGCACAGCCCCCTGCACCTCTCCCCCACTGCACCTCCCTGTGCACTCCCATTGCACAGCCCCTGCACTGCACCTCCCTGTGCACCCCCACTGCACGTCCCCAGCACCTCCTGCACTGCACTCTCCTCTGCACCTCCCTGTGAACCCCATTGCACAGCTCCCTGCACCATAGCCCCCCCCGCACACACCCACGCCTTTTCAGCCCCTGCACCACCCCTCCTTGTGCCCCCCCATTGCACAGCCCCAGCACCCCCTGCACTGCACCCCCCATTGCACCTCCCCATGCACCTCCATTGCACAGCCCCCTGCACCGCATCCTCCTCTGCGCAGCCCCATGGACCCCCTGCACAGCCTCGTTCACCCCCCATTGCACAGTCCCCTGCATCACATCTCCCATGCGTTGCCCAGCTCTTCCCTCTCCTTACACCTCACATGCACAATTCAGCTCCGCACACCCCTCCTGCACCTCTCTTGTTCACCCAGCTCCGTGCACCCACTCCACACCTCTCCTGTCTCATCCAACTCTGCACCTACCCCCTTGTTCCTCTCATGCCTCATCCAGTTCCATGCACCCCTCCCTTGCACTTGTCATGCCTCTCCCAGCGTCCCCCTCTTTGCACCTTCCAGGCCCCAGGCCTCACCCAGTGCAGTGCACCCCCCTGCATCACCACGCGCTGCACAGCCCCATGCATCCTCCCTTGCTACCATTTGGGCTGTCCCCTACGCAGTTTGCTTCCCATCCTGCCCATCACGTGCAGCCTGCACCCGTAACATGGCTGTGCACCCCGCACCACGCCTGTACCTCGCTCTCTGCCCACACACCGCCGGGTGCATGGCCCCAGCAGCTCCCTGCCTGCCAGCCCCACGCTGATGGGGCTCGGCCCAGGCTCTGAGGCTGCGTACTTCCCCCAGCAGTGCCCTGTGGCCTGTGGGTGTTCTGCCCTCCCTGCACCCCAAGTGACGGTGGGGTGATGCCTCCTCTGTGGGGCTGGAACAGCCTGTCATGCTGAGAGCCGGGGGCTGGTTGTGGCTAAGCCCACGGCTGGCTATAAATAGCGACTGAGCGCTATACAGGGGCGAATGGGCTGGGAGCGTGGTGTGACTCACTGCTGGTGCTGGTGCTGGGGCTGTGCGTGGCTTTGCAGCCCACAAGCCCTGCTGGACTTCTCCAGTTAGCCAGCAGGACCCCAGGGGCCGCCAGACGGCTACGGTGGGCTGCATCTGGGCCAGGACGGGAGCACAGAGCCACCCAGGCTGCTCGAGGGCTGGCTTGGTGCCTGCAAGCTGTACGTGGGCAGGGCAGGTGGCATTCGCTCGTCTTCTAGGGCTGCTCGTGTCTGAGCTGGGCTGGCACGTCCCTGCCCGTGTCTGTGCTGGGCTGGCACGTTCCTCCGTGTATCCTTCCCCACATCTGTGCCAGGCCAGAGCATCTCTTCTCACCCGTGCTGGACCAACTCATCTCTCTGGGTGCCTGCACCAGACTGACATGTCAGTACTGGACTGGTGTGTCCCCTGCCTGGCTGGCATGTCCACCCTCACGTCCTCACTGCGCCGGTCATCCCTGCGCCATCAGCCTGCGCTGGCACATCATGCTGAGCCCACGCAGGAGGCGGGTTGCCTGGGGAGGAAGCGAGGCTGGGGGGGGGGGGGCGGCGCGGCG